AATTACAGTCTCCTGATGTGATCTTGCAGATATGCAGATTTTCTATCCCGCTTGAATGATGATAGAAATATTCGGGCATTATTTGAGCGAGCATTAAGCTCACTCCCACCTGAGGAATCAGTTGAGGTAGTTATACTTGGACCATGTGCATCTTTTACAACATACTATTGTTTTTAGCAAAGATTTATAAAATTATTTTTCATTTATTAATCTCTTATAAATGACACAGTAATTTGATCTGTGATGCATGGCATTTCACCATAATGACTCATTTGGTAGCCATCCATTTGGAAATTTGCTGATTAATTTTACAGTTTGCTTTCTCTAGCGGAAGCCTTCTTTTTCAAGTTACATGGGCTTGCATTGGTTTTATAGTTTCTTCTTTTGTTGTTGATTCAGTCCAACCCCATGCTGTTCAATGATAAAATTTCTATACATCTTCCATTCTTAGGTTTTCATCACTCAGTTTTGTGAGTTTCAAATGTCTAAAAAATTGTTTAAGTTGTCCCTGAGTTGATTATTCCAAGCACTAATAAGATGCAGTTACTACCTGCTTGAACCATTCTAGGAATAACATTCTAATTACAACTTGGGTTCTGTTATTTGAATAGTCATTGATGACATTGGACTACTGCATCTTTATTTTGTTACCTTTCCCGAGCTTACTTCCTGGCTGTCCTTCTGTGTTGCCCTAGAAAAGTTTTTAGAAGCCTGCCTTAGTACTAGGCATTGAATGATAGTCATGAATGTAGTGAAATACTGAATATCATAGTTTGCTTTCATTGCCAAATGGAGCAACTGGTTTTTGCAACTTCAGTGTGCACGTACTGTGTTATTTTTACCAGATAATTGAAGCTTTACCATTTGGTTCTTCACTCTATTTTTTTTTTCGGTATTTTGCATAAATGATAGGCTTTTCTTGAAGTGCCGTAGCAGAAATTCACTCTTCTTTTGCAGATCTGGAAAAGATTTACTCAATTTGAACAAACATATGGAGATCTTTCTAGTATTTTGAAGGTAGCTCTCATTCTTTTCACCTGGACTTTATTTTATTTGTCTGAATGAATATACATGTATCCATTTGAGGTCCCTGAATCAGGTTGAGCAACGAAGGAAAGAGGCACTGTCAAGGGCTGGTGATGAGGGAGAATCTGCTTTGGATAGTTCATTGCAAGATGTTATATCACGCTATAGTTTCATGGACCTGTGGCCTTGCTCTTCCAAGGATATGGATCATTTGACTAGGCAAGAGGTAGATTGTGTACCATGTTTTCTCTGTGTATATATTTTATGGTCTGCCTCTGGAACTGAAGATGATTTAGATATATGTCTACTGAATATTTAAGTTATTTTTGCTATGATTTAACTTAGATTGTAATATTGCATTTGTTTTTAGTGGCTTTCAAAAAACATCAGTAAGAAGATTGAGAAACCAACTCCTGCCAATGGTGTCAGTTCTGTAGGTAATTCTATCATATTGACATGCAAACTACTATCTAATCTGACTACCCTATTTTGATTTAATAACCTCTTTTCTTCGGTTACAGATAAGAGTTCTTCAGCAGTTTCTACCACTTCAAATTCTGTAAAAGTTGTTTACCCAGATACTTCAAAGATGGTGGTTTATGATCCAAGGCAAAAGATTGGTATATATTCTGCTGCTTATTTTCCTGTGTGTTCTATTTTGGTGAATTAGAAAGGTAGAAGGTGTGGATGTTTAGACTCAAGGAAAGACGTAGAAGGGGTAAATGCTAATACTTTGGGCCTAGTTGTAATTTTCCTTGCAACAGCATTGGGGCTGATTAAGTGACATGAGAACAAAAAGTTATGTTAGGTATTCAAGTTTTGTGGATGTATATGAAGTATGGATTTCATTCACTCTTTCAAGGATAATTCCAGAAACTTTTCTTTGAAAATACACAATTAGGAGCTCGGAGATTTCCTGGTTATTTGGTTAACTGAAAAAGTAAATAAGAATACGGCCAACTCTAAAATAAAAAATCGGAGATTTAATTCACTCTTTCAAATTTTTGTGAATGACCTTTTTGCGACTTCTAAAATTTGCCCACTTTCTTATTTTTGGGTGGGACTCTTTCCTTCAAGTTCAAGTTGGGAACATTTGGTATTTTTGATGTTATTTTCTTTTCTATAAGTTTAAAGTTTGATACTGAAGGAACCATGGAGCTTGTTATTTGAGTTCATTTGACACAAAAGCATGAAAATTCATACAAGTCAAGTCTGGAGGTGGTTATGGTCTATTATGCATCATATTGCACTTAGGTATATTCTCTGAATTGTTAACTAAATACATTGAATGATAAAAGATTGGTACAACTATCATCCTCTGCTGATTTGGTCCAATTAAGGTATTATTGAAGTGATTGAAGCTGTCTGCTTTAAAAATCATGAATTAGGAATTTAGTTTTTCTAGTTATCTTTGCAGTATCTCAAATTTTAGTCACTGGTTTCTTAACTTGATGCTGGACCTTTTTCAGGTCTCACGGGTCCTTTACAGCCTGGAGTTCCAGTCGCTTTACCTCCTAATGATACAATGGGTGCTGCTGGAGCACCTAATGTACTGAAAGATATTTTGAAAACCTTACCACCTGCATTGGCAACTTTTGTAGCAAACCTGCCAGCTGTTGAAGGTAATCCTTCAATTTTCTACTATTTCCTTTTATTTGTTTCCTCATTTCTTCTGACATGATTGGTGTTGGATGTCCTGTTACTTTTAGGTAGTTGCCCAGTTATTTGTACTGCTGATATTAATTCAGGACAATATCACTAGTCATCCCCTGCATATTGTTGGTAGTCCTAGCTTCTTTTTTTGGCGTTTGTTGCCTATTCTCTCCTGCTACCGTAATTATGATTGACACCTTAAATGTCCAAAAGGCAAAAATCTTGCAAGCGTTTGGTCTTCTTTACACCATGGGTATATTTGATGCATACATTGCAGGTAGCAGGGTATTGCAATTCTATTTTGATGCTACCGTATAACTTAGAATTGGAGCATTTTGTAGTTCTTATTGTTTTTCTGATGTTCCATGTTGCCATTTGATTTGGTACTGCTTCCCCATTCATTTTATTTAAAAGTAATTTTGTTGTCAATTTTCTCTTTTGTGCCATACACGTTGAAAAAATTATACACGTAATGTTGGTGCAATAATGAAACCTGGGCTTTAATTATCAGCAAGTAAATGAGGATACCAGGCAATAGTGGTGCAACAATAAGTTTGCCCTGTCTCAAAACTTTTTGGGGGGTTAGATTTACAAGATGTTTTTGCTTTTCCAATTTTGGAGTGCCTGAAACCTGAGGCCCTGGGAAGCTTATCTGGGAACTTTCCTTGATTATGTGCTGTTGTATCTCATGATTTGTCAAACGTATTTACGTCTTTCACAACAAAATGTAAAAAGATTTTTGACATCTCCTGCAACCTGATGCTCATTTCTAGTGATTTTTAGTAGCTTAAGCTTACTAGTAAAGTTTGCAACTTAAGATCCACCGGACTCTTCATGGATGAGTTGACTATATTCTATAAAAGCTAATATTAGTTTGTGTGCTGAATGGTAGGTCCATCTCCTGACGTTGATTTTGTTCTAGCGATATGTCTGCAAAGCAACATACCACTAATGCCCGTAAGAGCAGCAAACTCTACACAACTGCAAACTGGTCCTGCTCCAAGCACAAGTGACCTATCTGGTTCATCAAAATTCAAGCCAACAAGAGATAGACATGCTGGAAAGAGAAAGGACGTAGACAGTATGTTGACAATCTTCTATTTCACCTGTAGTTTCTTTTTGTGCTGCATTATAGGTCTAAGTAGTCTTCTATGCATGTCTGTTGTTATTGCCTGGTGAAGTCTCATTCATGAATTGCTATAAGGTCAGGTCCATAAAAACTGAGAACTATGCATCTGTTTCTCACTTGTACCTTTTTCAACTTGCTTAACTCGTAGTTAAGTGAAGTAGATATGGAATGGATGATGCATCTGTTTTCGATGGATTCACTTTGCTAGTGATCATGATGAACCAACTTTTATCCAGCTTTTGAGTGATTTGCCGCATTGAACACTACAACTGACAACCCAATGTTCTTAATATTTACTGTAGAACAAGATGATGAGGACAGTACAACAGTTCAAAGCCAACCTCTTCCAAGAGATGCTTTTAAATTACGGCAATTACGAAAGGCTCGTGGTGCCAGTTCACAAACTGGATCGGCATCTTATGGGAGTGCATTTTCTGGGGAGATGTCTGGAAGCACCGGTTGATTTGCTTTGATCTGTTCTTTAGTATTTTCCTTTTTTTTTTCCCCATTTCTTCTGTAAATAACCCCGTAGCCTTTGTAACATTTATCCTTCACCATTCTTGTGACATATCCAATTTTGAGAGAGAGAGAGAGGAGGGGAGATTTTACGGTGTAAGAGGGCAATCAGATTGACTTGTTCTCCTGTGAGCAAGCAGTGCAATAAAATGAGATGATCATTTGTTCACTTCCCATGGAGTTTCTTTTCCGGTTTATTTTCCAAATCGATTGAAGTAGAGCTTTTAAGGGATCAAATTTCTGTATTTAAACTTCAAGATTTAACGCCCAGGTTTGACTAGCTATCCTGACATACTATTCTGAAGAATCATGAATATTAACTGGAACAACTAAATAAATTGTGATTACTACTCCAATGCAACACAGAGAAAGTTAAAAAGGCTAACACATTTACACAGCCTTAAAGTAATTAACCTTGTGATTCTGATTTGGTTTTCGTACTTTGATCAATCAATTACGTTCAAAGGTTGTCGTCTTGAACATTCTATTACCTCAGAATATGTCAATCAGTGTAGCGAGGTGGGACGTATTTGTCTTCCTCTGGTGCGACCCGTACGGGCGTCTGCTGCCTGCCTTCCTAAATTCTCCTTGGTCTGGCCATTGCACGAGCCATGCGCATGAATTATGAGAGATCACACTGAGTGGAAATGCAAGTTACGCAGGGAGAAGCTCCCGGTTGAAACGAAGGGAATTTAATGCAGACTCATTATTGATTCTTAAAGGTCTGTCGCAGCTCAGTTTCAAGTACTTGGAAACCAAAACCACTGCAACCCAAAATCATGTTTCGTAACAAGAGTAAGCCAAGTTGTAAACAGGAGAAGTTTTACTAATCTCGACATTGCCCCAAAATTTTTTTTTTCTCAGTTCAACGCACTAGATGTGGTATAAATTGACAACCGTCCCAAATTGAAGCCTAAAATTCTGGGGGTTGTGGTGCGGGGTTTCGACTGTTGGAGAGGACCAACTTCCTTACAGGGGCTTACGCGCCAAACACCCATTGAACAGCTACACTGTGGAAGCCTGACCATTTGTCATATCAGCCAAAATGCTTCAAATCACAAAAATGTCCAGAGTACATTGTAGCTTCGCCCAAACAAATTTGACCAAAAGCATGTGGTAAGTTCAAAAATTTGAGCCAAAACCAGAAACGTCTTATTGTTCTTGTGTTGATAAGCTGAAGTTCCTGCCTCTGAATGCTCAACATAATTTGCAAAAGGAAGCAAAACTGCAGCAGAACATTGTTTCATTGTAAGCAATAATTATATAATTGCACATCACTCCAGGAAAACCACAAGTACAACATCAAGAAAACAATAACAGAGACAAAGAAAGTTCCAAAAGGAAAATAAGACAGCATATTTGCTCTGCAATGTTAAACAAATTCTTGTGAGGATTAATGTCTGCACCTGTCAAATGTCCTTTCAACATATCAGACGGTGTCTTCTGTACTAGCCGTGGATGCACCCACTGTAGTTTCTGATGACTTCTTTGGTCTTCTATACCATAAAAATGTGAACCACAGAGTCCTCAACAATGCGCCATTTGCAAAATGTGGAATTAGAAGACGTCCCCAGTATGGATAGTATGGCCCTGGCCACTTTATCAATGTGAAAAATATAGCAACCGCAATGAGATGCCAGGGGACTTCTGCATTCTGAAAATCCCTCCAAAAACATTGTCATAAATCTAGTTAGCATTCATTTTCATTTGTATTTCAAAAAAACATATCAATCAAGTTAGAGCACATTTGCCTACACTAAATTATTTATTTGATGAAAAAAAAGAGGAAATTGTATACTAAGAGGCATCTATAATCTTTTGGAAGTGCATTGATTTCGGCATCTTCTGTTGTCCAATAAATAGGTCATTCAATGATGATCCAGTCATTCACTATTGTAACAGAAATCCATTCCGTTCAGGTCTGCATACAATAGTGGTTCCATTAACTCTTTTTCCATGTGGAAGTGAATTCCTTTCCTATTGAGACAAAGAGGACATCCAAATGGTTCAAAAAGCGCACTGTTCCTCAAGCACCAAGAGCCCCAGCCACCATACTATTTTGCACATTTTCATCGGCAAAGCATCAAGTATTGGACTTGTTCACGGCAAAGAAACATGTAAGAAAACATGATTATCTCCAGATATCCCAGGTTCACTTTTCCAGAATAGCCAACTAGCAGAATCCTAATTCCAAAACATGCTTGTCCCGTTACGGACTATTTGAAAATGTCGTATCCAAAAGAATTACCTTAAGAGATGGAGATGACTCCAGTGCTGCTGTTCTCAAGATCCCAGCAACAGCAGCGCCAACAAGAAATGGAAGTGGGACGAAATATAGTTTCCTCTCATGTGCACAGTAGGACATTTCGCTAAGGCAAGAAACAGCAAATATGGGTAGAGACAAGTATTTGATAACCACCAAGGCAGTGTCAAGAATGAGCTGAATGAAATTGTCAAATGCTCTATTCCAAGGGAAACTCTTGACAGGCTGAGGAGAACCATCCCAGAGTTGTTTAGCCTTGTGAACAATGTGGTCAAATTTCAGCTTCCCAGATTCATCTGACCGTCCTGCAGTCATATTCATTGCACACAATATATGGGGCTGGGTAAATTGACACATCCCTTTTGGTTTGACACTTACAATGTAGTTTTCCATCTGTCTGCATGGTAAAAATCCCTGCTACAGAAGAAGAAACTTCTTGATATGAAACATGTAGTGTATCACAGCTAAAATCCAGATTTGTATGTCAAATAGACTTCACTAAAGATATAGGAATAAGGCAGTTCCGTAGCAGTTTCTTTTATTCAAACAATTACATTACTAATGATTGAATAAGCGCGGAGAAAATTTATGCAAAAACAGAAGTGTACAAAAGTCGGGGGGTTTGCCATCCAGGGAGGTGGCATTTCAATGCAATCTCTTGTCATTCCTTTGGACAAGGCAATAAGCAAAGGAAGTGTACAAAATCGAGAACAAAAGCCTTTTTATTTCATTTATTTTTGACTCCATAAAAAGGCAAACGAAGGCCAAAAAGTTGAACAAAATCCCATCTGACCAACTAGAACTGGAACACAGCTATCACAAATCACAGACAATCCATTGAGACAATTCCACCAAGCTACCCAACAATTGTATTTTGTGCAGCAATCAGTTGGCATAACAATCATCATCTATTTCTCTTCAAATTCCTATATTTCAATTTTATAAACAAGAGAAGAACGAGAGAACGAAAAATAAAAAGAACATATTAATGCCACCTATCTCAAATGTAACCCACATTACTAAAAAGAGTATTGCTCATTTTCCTTGCCCTTGTCAGAAGACGAGTTTGGAAATATATGGTTCCAAAATTCCCATCTATATCCTGCATTGGATAGAAAAACAAATGCAGAGAAAATCCTAAAGAAAGCAATACAAGTAATTCTCCATTTGGAACAGGAAGAGGAAAGACTACCCTGGTAGGGCGGCCTCACCTTGGATGAAGAAGCACGGGCTGTAGGAAAATTGAGTTTCAGTGCCATCTTCCTTCAGCATACCCTACTACTTTACAATTACACCAAAACACTCGCACACAATTTAATCGGTAATTACGATGTCAGAGAAAACGCCCCCATGAATAAGGCGTTAAGAGGAGCAGGAGGAGGAGGATGAGGATAAGGAGTCGTGATTCACACAGGCAGACCTGGGAACGCTTTCCTGTATAAGCGCCAAGACGAGATGACAAAAAGGAAAAATCCTCTCCCATGGATTTAGATAGTTGGGCTAAAGTCGGGGTGCAACTTTGACGTTTTCGTCCTCCTGCGGCTAAGTTAATCCACCAGGAGGGATCTGGCCCAAACTTTTTCTTATGTACGTGAAAAGGGTAATACTACTAGGTCAATCGCATAGTATTTATCAAATAGCTGATTGCAGATCAATATAAATTGAAGATGATCCAACTTGAGAGAAGGAAGGATGGGATGGATTGAATGCTACAAAAATAGAGAGGGTATAAGTGAGAAATTTTAGTTTCGAAACCTCTCATTTACAATTGAAAAGAAAAAAAAAAAAGAAGTTTGTTAACAAAAATTCATATTTACAGGAAAAAAAAAAAAAGTTGAGACCCCTCCTAAGACCAAAAAAAAAATTTTATGAAACGATTTGTACAAATAATTGCTCAGACAGTGTGTGAGCCAGCTTTTTTTTTTTGGGCCATTAAGGAGGAAACTAAACCGGTACTTCTACTCCAGATACATCTGGCCCTAGAACCCCTTTTACGGCCCTGGAGGGTCCCTACTAAGAAGAGTCATTCCTGGGTTGATTAGTGCAGGTATTCCCTTCTGTGAGTTCTCTCTCAATCTATTAGCATTAGTCTCTCCTTTTTTTTTTTTTTTCTTTCAATTTTCTTTTTTATGATTGTAGCGTATTACTAGTTATTTACTGCTAATCCTGAACAAAATTACTATTTATGTACGAGTACACATATGCTTCGCATGGGAACTGAGTACCAAGTCAAATATCACAAAGCAAAATGAACCTTCATTTCACTCAAACTATCTGAAATTATTATATATATATATATACAGAGTAGCCATATATTGCAATCTTGCAAACTAGCCCAAACAAACAATAGAGAAGTCTTGCATGGACCGTATGTAGGGTATGTACAAAAATACCAACACTAGCTTTTATTCGCACACACACACCTCCTGCAGTGTCTACTACTAAAGCCACGGATGACTTTTGAGCTCAACATCTAGTAATCAGGTGCAGGGGTGTACCAAGCAGGGCATGTTCCCTTTGTCCTGAGCAATCTGGTGAATGGTGAATCAGGCATTCTGGCTCTCTCTTCTTCTTCAAGTTCTTCCCTTGACTTTGGCAATCCATCAGGGACTGGACGAGCCCATGTCCCTGTTTGCTCAGACTTTGAGTTCTTCTCGGATTTGTGGAGCCCCTTTTTGGCTTTGTGAATCTCTGCAATTCCGTGTAAGCAGCCAATGAGAGATTTCACTCCACCGGCTTCAATTATCAGCCTCTCTATCTCTTCCTTTGATGCCTCTTTCTGCACAGACTCCAAGAAATCAGCAGGGGAGAACCCAACACAAATTATGGCTTCTACTTCCGTTGCACAGTGTTAAATAATAAGCAATCACTACAATATTCTGATTTACGCTGTAAGTTGGACTACTGCACTACAAATACAATAGGATGGTCCGTCCTTATGGATTTCTTTCAGTTTGAAATACATCAACAGATGAAAGAATCAAAACAGTTACAACTCCTCTATTTTACAAGCAATACAAATAAATTAGGACTATCGAGCAAAACCAAAGCTGTGAACTTTTTCATTTTTCTTCAGTTTCATGCTTCAAATTTTAGCACGAAGATAAATAACTTACTTCAAGATCTTTGAGCTCAAAATATGCTTTCCAGCAGCTGTAGGAAGCGTCTCCTTCTAGAGTTGAACAGTACTCTAAACACACAAAAAAAACATAAACAAAGAAATTAGGAAACAATTAAATTCCATGACTAATAGTAATTATCTGTGGCTAAAATAATTTGGCTTAATTGGAGGACATCCGCTTGTATCAATTTTACAGCATTTACAAGTTCATAGTTCCACAAAATGCAATACTAGTGGTTTGGATAGACCAGAGGAGAACTCAAACCAAACCATAATACTCACGACAGTCAAGCAACAAATCTACAAACGTAAAAATACAAACTTTGTTTGATCAAATGAATAAGCTGAATTAAAATTAAAAAAAACCAGGATAGAAGAAATTGCGCTAACTTTTCATCAAAAAGTCAAGTAACCCATATCAAAAAAGTGAATCAACTTGGGATTCATCCAGACTAGCAATCTTTGCTTGATGAATCCAAGGAAAAAGTATTTAGTGATAAAACTTGAAAAACTACATGCTTTTCATGAAAAACTCAATTACCGCATATGCAAATACCAACTCTGACTTGCATCAAATTACTACTCTTAATTGCAATCCCATGCAACAAAGAGGCTTTCAAAGAAAAAACTAGAACCGAAGAATCATACCCGCAAGCTGGTTTTCGGATTTTTCATTCAAAGGAGGGTCTTTTAAGGCACGTTCAAATTTGGTTCTACTGAACGGTTCGAGCTTTGGTATATAAGAATTGTTTCTGGAAGATGAAGAGCAACAAACTGTCGAATTTAAACCAGACCTTGATCTTGAAGAATGATTAGATTCAAGAAGAAGTGAAGAAGAAGAAGATAATGAAGATGTGAGAGGGAGCGATTGCAGTGGCATTGCTGCTACTGTGATTTTAGATAAGACTCAAAGGGCCATTAAACAACGGAAACACTTTTCAATTGATTATTTTATAGGCTTTCAAGGTCCAATAATGCTAAGGACTACGGTGGAAGAAGAAAGCAATGGATAAGGATGAGATATTTATTTTTTTCTTCGAGGGAGGAGAGTTTTAGCGTCACAGATATTTTCCATCCTTGGGCTGTGACAGAGGAATACTAACCGTTGATCATATGAGTAAATGATTAATTGTCTATTATAGATTGGCCTTTGTGGGGACCAACAAGGGCTTTAAAAAGTAAAGTACTAACGGGATGGGACGCGGCGGAGGGAGAGTTTGTGTAAAGCAATGGGCGCTAACCTTTTCTTACTTAGACAGGCCAGAGATCGGCTAGTGGTTCAGTTGGATTTGGATACTGAAAAAGGACAACCCATCGTTTCTTTTCTAGTAATCGATTTCCTTGGATGCTTGTTTCTTGCAACCCCCCAAAAGACAAAATTCCTCATCTTCAGGGAAACTAGAGCACTTTCTTGAAAAATACGTTCTTACTTTTAGCGAATCTGTTGGATATTAGGAGAGATATTCGGTTCATGCATGCGTGTAATCAGAACTCGTGTAAGATTAACGCCAAGAAACAACTCTTACAAGAAATCTGAATTCTTTGTCCTATAAGTAGATATATGGACCTGGAACATTTTCTTCACCCAAAATCTACAACAAAAAACAAATTTGTTATCTTTTCGACAAACAAAATCAACAAAAGTCATTGCGCAACTGATATCTTTTAGGTGCATAATATTTATGACGAGAGAAACAGATTATTGAAGAAAACAAAGTAGGTACAAACAACAATTTCATTGGGTTCTCTTATGTACTAAGCTATATATATATATATATATATGAGAGTATTTATGTGCACAAACAAACTGCAAAATAATCCAGTTATGTACAAAAAGGGGAAGAAAAATAATTGATGTGAGTAAAACGTACATGGCTGTTTAGTGTTTATAGCCCTATGTACAACATGAAGAAATGCTAGCTAACAGTAATGTTCCATCCAAACCAGCAATTGGAATTATCGGTCAAAAGCAGAAAGCAGTGTCGGTTGTTGGCGGGGGTCTGTTCGTGAGCTCAATGGAGTGGAGGTTTCTGGCATGAGCTCAGACAATCTGATCCTTTCTTTGTTCATTCTATTCTGAAAAGGAGAAACTAATGACATCTTAGATTTTGGATGCCATTATGGCCATATAACAGATGTCAACATTGAAATCCCTCTAAATTAGTTTAAAAATGTAACATGCTTTCAATCTACCTTTAATTTCACGTCTTCTAATTCTGTTTCTAGGGCATTGACCCTATTCTTGAGCTGATCAAGCGCTTCTTCAGCCACCGCCAGATTTACTTCAGACGTTGGCCTTGTTATCCCAGCAGCCTGCACATTTGGTTGGGGTTCAGGAGCACTTATCAACTTTTAAGAAAGGTTCTGCTGTGAAAAGGAACGTCAAAGTATAACGGAATGAGGTTCTTGAGTCTCTCCTAATTCTCACCTTTAGTATGCTGGTACATAGGCTGACTAACTCCTGTGCCAATTGGAATCTCTCTGTCTCAGTTTCCTATAAAGAAATGATCAACTTCATCACAATTGTACCATCACAATATCATGCCTCTCAAAATACACTGATGCAAAAGTCATATTCCTTGAGGCTAAATATGGCTCTCATGTAGGACTAACCATCAACTTGTCGTTTAACCGTTGCTCCTCATCAAAGTTGATGCAGGGACTTCTCCCATCAGCTATCCGAAACTGAGCCAGCTCTTGCTTCACCCTTGAAAGCAAAGCCTCTGATTTTCTCAACTTCACACTAAGTTCATCGTTCTGCCTCTTCAATATATTGTTTTCTTCCTGTTACAGTTAACAAGAAATTGCTGATTCTCAATTGATTGCACAGATGATAGGGCATTGTTTTCTTAAGAAGATCAATTGATATGTTGTAAAGATCAATCTGAGAATAAAAATAATTCCATCTGGTTCTGTATAAAGGAAAAACAAAAAAGCTTGCCTTGATTTTAGCATGATGATGGATTCGCTGTTGGAGATTTTGCTGGCCGGACAACTTCTTTACTTCTGCATCTAGTTCTGTAGTCCTCTTCTTATAATTCAGGTTCTCCATCTGAGCAGATAGAAGGCATAGACGCCAAAACAGGTTTAGCAATTATAGATTTCTATGTACCAGTCAGTTGTTGAGTACAAGAGTAACAAGACTACAACCTTCAACATTTCATTTTCAGTTGTCAGCAATTGATCTCGCTGGCGCAGTTTTTCCACCGCAACTTGTGTAGTCACCATCTCAGCTTGTTTTCTATCAATTTCTGCAATCCATCTGAAGAAAGGTTTTAAATGACATAAATATGATGAATCATCATAGCACAAAGATCAATATCAGGTTAAACTTGACATTTGATTACCCTTTCCTCTCCTTGATAAATTCATTCAACTGCTGCTTCAGCTTAGCTACTTCCTGCTCCTATAAGCAGAAGAATAA